TTTTGTTTGTGGCTTTTATTTCTTTTGTCAAATATTTTTGTAAGTTTTAAATGAACTGGATGTTGATATTAATGCTTTCTTCAGGGTCATAGGTTAGGGATAAAAATTATAGAGGTTAGGTAGTTTTCCAGGCCTTGGAATATTCTCCAGTTGGAGATTCTAGAGACAAAAGTTGGCCTGTATGCAGTTCTTACAGTATTTGCTAGCATGGTTAAACATCTCTTCACTCTTCCGGCTTATGGACATATCTAATAGAGCTCTGATTTTGGAAATATTCTCTTCACTACCTTACATACACAAGGTAGCTTGAGGAGTTGAGAAAATGAAGACGAGATGGCAAAATCCCACTTTGCTCTAACAGTTTGTCCAAAAAGGGAGCCTCTCCATTCAAGAAACCAAGGGAAACGGTGGTAATAATTAGAAACCGTGGCTTATTCAATATCTCAAAACATGTATGCACATTGTCGGTGGGTGCATCAGTGTGAGATACTATGGCACAGTAGCAATGAGTGGCAATAGTACCACAGAGTAATAATCAGCTTCTGCACAGTAGTATTGGGCAAAAACCGTGCAGCAACTGTACTGTGCAGTCATTTGGTATTAACATAAGCAAGTACTAAAAGATTGCAGTAATGACTGCACAGTGGGTGGCTTACGTAGATGTGTCCAGTGATATATAAATTAATGACAATGGTATTAAACGGAGTAGCATAAACAACTAAATAAGTACTGTAGAACATCCTGACACTGATTTGTTATATTTTTGCCATGATATTCCAACGACACATGATAAGGTTGAGTCACTGATGCAATCTCATTATGCAAACTTTGCAACCTGAAGGCAGTTTTCTTTATGGTTCCATTTCATTATGAACATTGCCTTCAAGTTATTTAAGTGTCCAAGTAAAAAATAGAAACCAGGAGTTCTGACTCTCAATCATTTGCTTTGGACAAGTTACTTTGGCTTTGTTATGAAACCAGGTAAAAGTTCTCAGGATTGCATTGCTCTGATGAACTTCATTTTCAGTCTAAAATACAGTATAAATAATGGGATTTGCCTTGGAGCCAAGCAGAATTTCTTCCTTTGTGCCTACAGGAGTTCAGGAACTGCTGTAGACCCATTGCTTTGAAGAGTACTGTGGTGGAGAAGAAATGGGGGAAAGGCTAAGGCCTAGTCTATGGACTACCCAACACTGCTGGCTGGTTGTGTGGTTGGAGTGTGGGGACTCTAATCCATAAAGTGATGTAGCAGTAGGCTTGCCGCCTTTTGAGGCAGTCTTCTTCCCAGGCTTCCCATGGATTACTGTGATTCCCTTATTTTGTTTGCTGAAGCTACAAGGCACATCAAGTATTAAGCAATTATTTGTTTTTTCCAGGAAAACATTTTATTTCCAGTCAATGTCAAAATCTCTTATTTTATTTGCAGAGTGTGAAAAGGAGCCTGGGTCCTTGATGTGGGTGTTTGTGCTGGTAGGAAACATTATACGAGGAATGGGTGAAACTCCCATTATGCCACTGGGCATTTCATATGTGGAAGATTTTGCCAAAGCTGAAAATTCACCTTTATACATTGGTAAATCTGCAAGCATTTGGTTTTATGTTAAATATAAGAAGTGTTCTTAACTCATTTAGACTTTTCAAGGTAATTAAGGACTTTGCCAACCTGTGTGAACACAGGTGGGTGAATAGGGCAGTAAATGTCAAATTGGTTTAAATGTGCCTTGATTGTATCCTCATAGCTATGATACTTCCCTGAAGATCAAGTGGGGGGATCACTGACCACATATCTATCAAGCACCACTTAAATAATCAGAGCTCTGCCTGGGGTCAGAGATCAATATACATGCTTTCCAGTGCAGGATTATGACCTTTAGCATTCACTTTCTTTAAATATGCTAGTGACTGAGTTTTCTGGATGAAATGTTTGACAAATAAAAAAATAGAGTTCTTTGATGCAAAGCCTATGAAATCAGTAGGAAGAATTGTACACATGAAGGACTATGAACATGCTGGAGAACAAGGACAGAAAGTGATTTGTAATCATCAAAACCATATTCTCAGAACTTTATGGGGTCAATCTATCTAGTCACTATAGATAGTTGGGAAATGTTCATAGAATCATACAAAAGTAGGGCAGTCAATTTTTAATGAAAATAACTGTGGAGGGCCTGATTCTGTATGTTTTTCACTTTTCTTTGCTTCAGGCTGCCTGCATACAGCCACGGTGATAGGCCCCCTGCTTGGTTTCATGTTGGGATCATTCTGTGCACAGCTGTATGTTGATCTGGGATTAATAGATCTAGGTAATGAACTAATATGTTTATAATGTGTGGCAGTCAATCAGTAAGGATGAGTAGTGTATCTCACAGCACTGGCTGCACTTGTTTTATGCCAGCTTGCTGGTAATACTTTTATGAAGCAAAATCAGTATATGATGCTCAGTTTGATAAGATCCCCTGCATTCAAACAAGATTAAAATAATCTGCAAATAAATTATTTGTTAAATAATATCATATGAGTTCATTCGATGATGAAAAATATAATCAATTAATTAATTAATGTCCATATTTGGCAGATAAATCTAGTTGCTTAAGAAAAGGCCACCTGCACTTTTGAAGAGGTACCTTGAATCTTCCCAAGAGTTTTCTTCTGTCTCAGATTTTAGAAGTGCCTACTACAAGTGAGTGTGGGGGAAGAGATCTAAGAGCTAATATGATGTGTGTTTCTTTACTTTTAGAGGAGGTGACTTTAACCCTAACCGATGCACGTTGGGTTGGGGCATGGTGGCTGGGCGTTTTGATTTGTGGATCAGTGAATCTCCTCGCTGGCATGCCTTTTTGGTTTCTGCCTAAGACCCTTTTCAAGGAAGGAGAAGAAAGTGATACTGAGGTACCACACAGAATAAGCGAAACACTGGTACAGGGAAATGGTAAAAACCAAGTCAAACAGAACATGTATGAAATCGCTAAAGGCAAGTTAAATAATTTTATTTTATTTCTCCTAAATTTATCTTTGTCACTATATGGTAGAACAGGTTAAAATACAATAGGACTATAGGAAAGGCTTTCTTTTTTCCCTTATGACATGGGCTGTGTGTGCTTGTCACTAGAGATGGGCCTGAGCTGCAAAGTTCATACCTCAAAGAACAAGAGTGTTGGTTTGGTCTCTTATAGAGTCACAAACCTACTGTGAAATGTATCTGACACCTCTTTCTTCCCGCACTTTTGTGTATTTGGATGTGGAAATTTGCTTCTAGTGAGTCACTAGTTATAACTAAAGTTGAATGAGATTACAGTAGGCTGAGCTGCATGGAGTCCGGTGCTTCCCTCCATGGCTGTAGGGTAGGAAACTAAAAACTCCTCAGAGGTGTTTTACTTTGTAGCGCCCCAAAGTCATTTGCTGCATCCCAAAGTCATTTAATGCTGTAATGTGCTACAGTGGCTGGAATGAATGTGCAATATGCCACTGAATGTGCAAACAGTGCCATTAAAGTGGTGCAAAAGGCATTTAATCCACTTTAAACCTGCTTTAAAGTGTTGTCTACAAATGCCCATATTTACTTGAATCCAAGATGAGGTTTCCCCCACATTTAACATGGGTAAAAATCCCCTTATCTTGGATTTGAGTACAAGCAGGGAGGCAGGCAGTTGTTCTGACTCCAACTCTGGACCTGACCCAGGGTTGAGTCAGAGTTGGAGACCTACCTGGTCTTCCCACCCGCACTGCCTTGTCCCCAGCTGTCTCTCTTATGCCCTCCCCATCTGCTCCCCTACCACATCTGTCCCACTGCTGTCTGCTCCCCACAGCCTGTGCCTCCTGCTGCTGCTTCCCCTCCAGACTTGGCTCAGGCCCTGCTCCACCCCAGGGCAGAGGACACATAGTTGCTATGGCCCCAACCTGGCCATGTAGTGGTAGCAGCAGCCCCAGCCCAGTCAGAGCTGGAACCAGAGCTGCTACTGCTGCTGCTGCTGTTGTGTGGCCAGGCTGGGATAGCTACAGCAACAATGTGCTCTGTTCCCTAGGCTGGAGTGGGGCCAGAGCAAGAGCTGGAGGGTAGGGGCAGCAGCTGTGGGGAGCAGGTGATGATGGGGCAGATGTGTTTGGGCTATAACTGGAGAGTAAGCTAAGCAGTGTGTGTGTGTAGAGGGAGGGGGAGGGGGAGGGGAGGTCAGGCAAGAGACGCAGAGGCAGTGGCAGGGGGAGAGACATTTGAGCAGAGGCAGAGGGGGCCATGTAGCATGGGAATGGGAGGGAAAGGCAGGTACCAAGGTGGACAAATGGCAGGGGAGGCAGGTGCTAGCGGGGGCAGGCACTGGGTAGGACAGGTGGTAGATGTTGAGGTGTGTGTGTGGGGCGGGTGTGGGGGAGATTTCTCATCTGCTTGGCGCATTACTGACTGCCACTGCTTGCTCTGCTGTAGCAATGGGGGGACAACTTTAAGACGACCCTGCAGTAATTAGATTCTGTACATGGAAAATGATAACTATTTTTCCATGTATACAATCCAATTGTTGGGGCTTATTTTAAATTTAGAGTTGTCTTGGATTTGGGTAAATATGGAAGTTCTGAGGTCCTAATATTCAGAATGAGGGTGCATTTGCCAATGCGCATTCTCTGCCCTTACTTAGTGCAGCCTCTTTTAGCTGGCTCAAACTGGGTATTCCACATTCAGTGCACCCCAAGTCACTAATCACTGCTGAAAGTCTTTACTTATACTACAACCTTTGGTAAGAAACAGATGACTCTCCAAGAGCTCAGCTTGTGGCATTCCTAATTCTCCAGTGTGACTTCAGAATGCATCTCTCTTTGGGTGCTGGTAGACAAGCCGGGAGGCTGCTCCAATGCATTGTGATTACAGCACATCAGAGCAGAGTCGATTAATCGAGTCTGTTGGAGCGTGGTAATTACTGTGCTCCAGCAGATCTCCTGTGTCTCGTATGAGCATCTCTGCACTTGGAAATGGTGATGGGGGTGCTTGAACTGAAGCTTGTCAGACAAGCTTTAGTTCAAGCATCCCTGCCACAATTTTCAAGCACAGGGATGCTAATACATGAGACTCTGTGGTGCTTTCATTAGAGTGGCTCCTGGAGCCACTCTAATTAAAGTGCACTGCTCATTCCTGGAGCACATGTAAAAGTGCCCTTTGTTTATCACTCACAGGAATAACACATTGTATTGTGTTCAGGGGGAAATCCATTGTCCCTGAATATCCCTAATAAAAAGTGTCTTGGTTTCAAGTGAAAACTTCAGTTGTCCTATTTCATCTTAATACTCCTTTGCATTTTCTAGAAAATCTGGATGCTAGACTACATAGCATATGTTTTTATTATAAATTAGACTACATTGTGAGACTGATGTACTAACCTTCCTCTACTGAGATACTAACCAGCCTCTGAAGGGTATACGTCAATGCAAACTAGTGCCTGTTTTTAATAAATCAAGGACATTGTTATATAAACCTTTTTGTTTGCTTTCTAAAATTTCTTAAAAACTGATCAGTACATTTGCTGGCACAGAAAGTAGAACAGAAAGAAATTTCTTTTTTGTAGTCTGTGTCCTGATTCTATAGCTTTTCTCAGACAATACTGAAAAAAAATGCACCTCATTTGGAACTTTGCCTGTGATTGTTTGGTAGGGAAGTCCGTAGTTGGATCCTAGGCATCCAACAGAAACACAAAATCCAATAGAAACACAAAATCAGAAAGAATTAGGAAGTCTAATAGTCCAGGGGAAGGAAAAAGAAGCATTGAAATCCTTGTCTGTATTTAATACCTGGGCAGCATAAGTGAAAAAGCCATAATTAAAATGCAGCACATTACAAATTAATTGAAAAATAAGCTTGGCAGCATGGAAGGCTTAGGGACAACAGAAAGCATCTATGTTGGGTATGGAAGAGAGGGGAAAAGATTCAAACAAGAAAAAAGTCAGTTAAATTTTTCATTAAAAAGATGTGAGAGCTGGAAAACAAATCCAGAATGAGTTAATACAACCCAAGGGGCTTATTAGGAACCAGAAAACTTGTAGAAATACATCTGGGAAAGAGGAATCCTAGAGAGAAATTAGGGTCTTTATTAAATGAGAGATAAGATTAACGATTGTATACAGTGTCTGGGCCACTGAACTCCTTTTTCAAATCAGAAATTCCAACTGATGAGCAATCCTTCTTTAAAGAAAACCTTCTACCTCATAAGCTTCAGTAAAAATTTAATCAAAAGCAACATAGAATTGAAGAGAAGAGAAATTGATAAAGCATAGAAAATATTGGAGCATGAAAAGAAAAGCTAGGTAGTCATTGTGTACAATGCCATATGTTGCAGATGGGGTTATTACATTGTGGAAAAGACATTTTGGAGCACACAAGGAATATTTTGGGTTCAAATATAAAATCTTTAGAGGACCATGATAGCTGATTTTACTTAGAGCAGATCCAATTCAGTCCAAGATCTAATTTAGGGCCTCTTCTGCTTCTTTTCCTGCTGCTTTAGCCACACTCAGCAGAGACTAATTTGTGTTGTGGACTTTCACAATAACTCCGTTTTTTCTGTCATTCCAGATTTCCTGCCATTTCTTCGGGCTTTGTTTCACAACCCTGTGTATATGCTGTTTGTATGCATTACTGTTTTACAGTTCAATGCCTTTGATGGCATGATATCCTTTATGCCAAAATATCTGGAACAGCAGTTTGGGAAATCTGCATCAGATGCCATCTTTTTAATAGGTACACTTGCATTATGTTTGTTTTTTCCCTTGATCAGCTAATGATTATACTGAGGGCTTTATACAGAAAATACGTTTATATACTGAGAAAGGTGCTTATACAAGAGCTAGATTTAACACAAAACTGTCATCTGATGTTATGAATTTATGAATTTATACCAAATGAATCTCTTAACTCATTTTAGTTATCTTTTTCTAACCATAACCTCACACACATTTTAAAAATTAATCTTAATGTACTGTCATATTTATGTTTTCATGTTTATGAAAATGACACCTTGATAGCACTCCCTTCAGAGACAGCAGTTGTTTGAATATATGCTCAGCCAACATTGTGCGCATTAGTGTTTTCCATCACACCCTTCTCTGAACTGTTGCAGATTCAGGCTTTTCCTAAAGCCATATTCTCTCATTTATCTATAACACCACATGGCAAAGGAACAATGCTCCCAATGTTTGCCTACCCTTTTTGAGTCTGTCTTGTGTTGCTTTGTCTTCTCTGAAGATTAGTGTTAGAGGACAACATAGTGATGGCCCACGGAAGCGGGAACCAGAGCAACTGAGGAACAAAAGGGAAGGCTTCTATGGATCTTTTTCTCTTCAATGACTTCTACTTCCACTGTCCATTCATGCACTTTAATTCACCTGGAGTGACTTTGTTTGATCAAAGTAACAACATACATAACCAAAAACAGGAAAATAACTCTTTCAGGGGCTTGTTGCATAGGATACTTAGCAAATATTTTATCTGAGACATAGTAAGTGTTACCATCCCATATTAAAAGTTAGAATGTGTTCTAAGTAGTTGCACGAGAATGCTTACTACTACTAGGGCTGGAATTGGCTGTTCCCTCCCTCTTCCCCCTCACTCCAGACATTGAATTGACGCTGGCACAGCTTGCATGTGTGCCTGTGAGGACATGCAACTCCCACCCTCAAATCCTGTGGCCTCCCTGCTGCGTGCTTGGCACTGTCCAGCCGGGGAGTGCCTGCTGCTGGCATGCAAGGGTGAGCCAAGTCTCTCCTGTTGGAGGTGGGTGGAGGGAGGTACCAGGAAGCAAAGCGAGCCAAATCTCATGAACGCTGCATGCCCCCAGAAGCTGGGGAGGCATGGCAACCTTCCACAGGTAGTGTCAACAGCATGGTGGCAGTGAGAAGGGAGCTCTTGCAGGCAGCCACAGCAGTGTCAGTGGTGGGGGCGGGAGAAGGCGGGGGGTTGGCAAGCACTGACCAGTGCTCAGTGACCACCTGAAGACACCACTACAGTGGCAGTGGCACCTAGGGACTGCCCACCAACGCCGCCAGCAGTGTCAGCAGCGTCAGCAGTGAGGGGGGTAGGTGGCAAGCGGCGACCACTCGCAGGAGCTGCCGGCTGCATTGGTGGTGCTTTTTGCATGGTGTGCACCGCCAATCTCAGGGGTGCATGTGCACCCACGTGCTCCCCCATGCGTTGCTAATGCTGCCACTGGATCTTGAGGTTGAGCCATGTGTGTGCCACTGGCAGAGAGATGCTGTGGCCAGTTCAAAGCTCTGATTTGGCGTGGAGGTTGGGACCAGCAATTGGCTGATTGTCAGTTCTAGTTCCAGCATCAGACTGGAGGCAGTTTCAAACTCGGGTGCATTGTCAGGGATGGGACTGACAGCCAGTTAGCTGTGTTTGTATTATCCCCACAGATCAGCCCCAGAATAACTAAATGTGTTACTTAATACAATCTGGAGATACTCCTGCAAAAAGTTGTAACTTTGCTATAAAACGATTGCACTTAACATGTGTTTTTCTGTTTGAATGCACAGATGTTCATGCTTTAAGTGCAGTTAACATATCCTAAGTATAACATGCAATATGGCTATAAGTTAAATCCAGTCATAGCTCATACCTAAATTTAGTGTCTAACTAACTCCACCTGCATCAGTCTCTTTAAACTGCCATAGTTTTTAAGGTATAATAAAGGATCTTTAAGGTATAATAAACACATCTGATAATCACAGTTTTTGAAGTTGCCTACATCACACCTCACAGCTCTCATGGCTCATGCCACTCTGCTGTTCTGCTATTGGTTGAAACACTCTCAAAAGATCAGTCTTACTAGCTTTGTAGATGAAGAATTATTTCCTGCATTTTCATAGATTCATAGACACTAGGGCTGGAAGGGACCCTGGAAGTTCATTGAGTTCAGTCCCCTGCCCGCAGGGGCAGGAAGTCAGCAGGGATCATAGGATCCCAGCAAGATAAACATCCAAATGTCTCTTGAAGGCATTCAGAGTAGGCGCTTGAACCACCTCCAGCGGCAATCTATTCCAAACCTTGGGGGCTTGGACAGTAAAGAAGTTCTTCCTTATGTCTAGCCTGAAACAGTCATGGAGGAGTTTGTGACCATTCAACCTTGTCAT